CCTGCTGAAACTGGGCGGGCCAAATCCATTGGAATTCTCTGTGTAGGAAGTATGGACTTTGTCCATTGAATGCATAGTGGCTGCCAGAGATCACACATCAGTGCAAATTCCAGAGTTTGTCTGGTATAGCTCAATGACTCTGTTGTGACTCACAGTACAAAAAGAAAGAAAGAAAGAAAGCCAGAGAGAAATCCACAGGGCAGTATTGAAATATTTCTCTCCTTCCCTGACTCATGACACTCTTCATGACAGCAGAATGACTGCGTGACTTGAACTTCAAATTTCCCACCTTGATCTATGGCTCATTTGGATTAACCCCTTCCACTCCTCACTGGCTGATTCAATGTGCTCTGACTATTCTATAAAAATAAAGTTGGGAGGAGACTAAACATAGTGTCATAATCATAGTGTGGGCTCCCTTCTCGAAGTTTACCTTTAATGCAAAACGCTTACTTTTTATAATGGAAATCAAAGAGATTGGGCCCCATGATTTTGTAGCTGTACTTTTATATGTATATTTTTATAGCTGCAGACTATCACACACTATACTTTTGGAAGTTTGCGTGGCTAGACCTGAATTCTTGCACATGTTCCTAAAAATTTCCTCCTATGGGAGACTCGTTTTGGTCCTTCATGGTATCACGGCAGTGGGCTAGGTAACTTGGCATGGTCAACTTGGGAGCCAACCATTTTCTTTCAGTAAATGTTGATCGTTCAAAGGCATGAATATGGAGCTTTCCAAAATAAGCAGATTAAAAGGAACCTGTGTTACTGAGGTGGGTCACTCAGTATTGTTTTAAGAGAGGGGAATGTCTGTAGCAATCTTGAATAAAGGGGATGAAGAAGGCTAAAACTTATTTGTTTATTTATTCATGGAGTTGTTACTGATTGTGCAGAGGCCACGTCAACAAGTGGACACTAACACAGTGTTTCTGAGGCTGTGCGGGGGCTAGGGCACATGCTCACAGCATGATCTGAGCATCTGAGCAAGAACTGGAGAAGCAGGGCTTCTTCTGTGCCATCAACTGTGCCCCTTTGCTATTCCCACATGTGATCCTAGAGACAGCTGGCTTGCTGGCAGAGCCCCATGACAGGACTTGCTAAGGGAAAGGTGAGAGGAACACCACCCCCAAAGAAGAGGGAAATACGATCCCACTCATGCAAGATCGTAAGATCCTATAATTAGTCCCCGTTAAGACTCTACCCTTGTTTGTGCAACCCTCATTCAGCAGAGTTTTGAGCTCTGTGCAAAGCAGTTTTAAGCATATTAGGAATTCTAAAAGATGAATAAATTATAGCAATTAGCTTGTCCCCCAACCTTCTGCCTCCCGTCTTTGGGAAAATTTCAGGACCAGCATCTTTCCTACCAGGAGAATAATGGCACTAACAATGACAATAATAATAATTCACCCTCTCCTACACACCATCCCTTGTTAGTGTAACCCAGAGAAAGCCGTGTGGGTCCTGCCACCTCCTAGTCATCTTTTTTTTGGAGACTGTCAGGGCCAGTGCTTCCCAAGATAGTAGAGTTGCTTTGACAGTACATTTTAAATGGATTGCCTCTGGCCAAAAATAATCATTATGATTTTAGTAAAATAGTCAGCTGAGTTGAAGCCAGAGAGGTTGTCTTGCAGATGAGTTGTTTCATACAAGTGTTATCCAAAGGAAAATGTAATGACCCACAGATGAGGGCCTGGGAGTATGTGTCAAAGCTGAAGAGGATTTGGAATCATTTCTTTGGTGGAAAGCAGATGGAGCTAAGGGGAGAGGGGTGACACAGTGATGGATTTGGGGCGGTAGGAGATGTTACAGGCTACAGGGTAGCAGAGTATAGAGACCCAAGAGGAGCTGATGACATGGGAGGCTGAGGCTAGGCGTACAGGGTAAGAGACAGTATATCCAAGATTGGAGCAAAGCTCCTCACAGTGGCTCCAATCCAGGAGATATGCAATGAGCCTATAGCGGTGGTAGATGTAGGATTGAAAACTTTACCCTAAAGCTAAAGGATTAGACCTAGATTCTGATGGGCAGGAAAGCAGGGAAGAACTCAGCCTGGAGTTGAGGATGTCCACGTTTTCTAAGTGTATCTGTTATCTGCTGCAATAATAATGCTGCATAAGAAACAACCACAAAACTACAATGTATATAACGATAAGTGTTTATCGCTCATGTTGCGTGAGTGGTCAGCTTGGCACTTCTGCTGATCCTGGTTGGGCTTGACTAGGTGGTTCTTCCAGTCTTAGCTGGAATTGTTCACATGTGTAGTGTTTACTAAGGTCTGGTGGCCTTGGCTACAAATGGTGGGGTCACTTGAGTCTGCTCCACGTGTCTCTCATCCTCTTCATCAGACCCATACATTAACCTGCGCATGCCCTTCTCACGACAATGAAAGAAAACAAGAGCACTACAGTAAAGGTATAAGGCTTTAAATGGCCTAGATTTGAAGCAGTCACCCAACAAGCCAGCTGGTAGTGTGGTGGTCAAAGCAGCTAGATTCCACATGGCCAACTGCATGGTTCAGGTCTTGAATACAGCAGAGCGAAATACACACTGGGTGTGTGTGCGTGCCTGCCCATAGTCTTAACAAGAGAATGGAGAAGAAGGGATTGTGGCTTGGCCATCGCCCCTATAGAGCTTCCTCACTTTCCTTCTCTCTGTCTCTCTCTGGCAAGTTCACATACCCTCTAGCAAATTAAAAAAATAAATAAATAAATCACTTAGCCCTTCAGGCATATCTTATTGGTCAAAGTATATAGGTGTATAGATTCAAGAGCTAAAGACACAGACTTCATGTCCATAATGGCATATGGACATAGTGACAGGAACTACTAAGTCACCTGGCGACGGGCATGAATACAGGAAGGGGTAAAAGATCAAAGCCATGAATGCAGTCCATCCCCCAGAGCAAGTCACATGCTATTGGACAAAGTGGGGCAACAGGGGCGAAGTGGTCCTATGACAATGTCTCTGCAGGAGTACTTGGAGCTGGGGGAGAGGTCTGTGAAGTTCTCGGTGACTGGCCAACTAGGCCCAATGGAAGCAGCACTGGTCCCTCCCCCACCCCTCCACTGGGCCCCTGTTTCGCCTCGTCCTTCCACCTGTTGGCTGATGTTTGGCAGCCCTATCGTGGTGCCGAGGAGGGGCCAGTGGGATCGCTGCCCTGGTTTGGGGTAGCTGCTGTAGTGAGAGGTATATTGCAGAAGGCTGGTTAGGCTCTTGGCTGGAGAGAGGTTTGGGGAGTAGCCAGGGAGCTCGGAAGAGGTTAATGCAATTCCTGTCCAGTGTGAGGCATGGGTTCCTGAAAAGCTTTAGTCCCACAGTCCATTTTTAAAAAACCTCAGAACTTCCCACAGGTTCTGATCAATGAGACTGGGGGTGGGGTGAGAACTCTGTGGCTTTTCCTATTAAAACTTCCTCACCCTGCCCAGAAGTTCAGCTGCAGCCCGACAGCCGACCCTGGCCTATGGGCCACCACTCCGAATGGCTGCACCTCTGTCCCACCCTCTTATTTGCCTTTCATTTCCTGACCCAGTCCTGTTCCAGCCTCCAGGCTCCAACACAAACAGGCCCTGCTGGTTTCCATATACTGACTGCCCGGGTCTTGCAGAAACTGGCGTTTTCCTTCTGATTTCACTCCTCTTCTTGCCTCCACCATTCACCTCCTCTCTCCTCCCCCTTGCAGGGAGCTGCCTCTCCCTGAGTGGGAGGAAGGATCTCGGAAATGTGCCCAGAGCTGGCAGGCCCAGTGCTTTCCACTTGGAGGAAATGCTGCATTTTTCACCTTTAACCCAGAAAAATATGGTTCTCAGAAAGCTTGTTTTTAGCACTGCAAGTTCCCAAAGGAAGAATTGGGAGTAAGAGGCCCAGACACTCACAGAACTCTGACAACTACCCTAGCTACCCCCTGCACTCAGAAGGCTGTTCTTCGTGGGGGGGAATTGCCTAGGGGCAGCACCCAGAGGCCCAGCTCCAGGGAAGACTGAGGGAGAGAATTCTGGCTCAAAGCCGAAAGATAACCCGGGAGAGAGGGGCCTGCACAAAGCACTAGCTGTGTCCCATTCCCTTCCCTGCCTCTCCCAGCTCTTGCCAGCCTGGGAACGCACAGGCCGTCACTGTCCTTGAAGATGGATGGAAGGTGCACAGGGGACAGCTCAGACTCTAAGCTGAGAAGAGTGTTAGCATTAGCTTATCAAAGGCGGGAAGGAAGTTTTCCAGGACTTTCACCCTGAAGGAGCCCAGATGGGAGAACATAGAATCAAAATAAGAATCTGAAATAAGGAATTAGTGCTGTGTCAGCCCCTTCTCGACATGCACGTCAGGACTGGCCAGCCAGCCCCAGGGGCAGCAGCACTCGCCTCTCCACTAAGCCCTGTCTCCCCTTGTCCTGTTGTTCATACAGCACACGCTAAACAAAGAAGGACAATATGAGCACCCCTGCCTCAGCCACTGAGAGGCCGTGGGTTCAGGTCTGGAGGCATTTATGCTGGCACATGTTAGTGGAAGTGACAGGCTGTCCTTAGGAAGTTCCAGCTTACAAGTGGCTACCTTGGGGCTGGAAAAGGCTAATCCAATTCAACAGCATGAACTGGCTTCTAGGAGAGTCCTGTGGGCAATTACTCCTCAACCTCACGTTCCAAGAATGCTCAAGTAGTTCTTCGTGACAGCCAAAGCGGATGGGCATGGCCCATATGACTTGGGAAGACCGAAGCTGGTCAGAAAAACTGGGTGACTTGCCCACAGTTGTATGAT